CAAACGCGAGGTCGCGGACGTGCCAGCACGAGTCCGGCGGCAGCTCGCGGCCGCGGCAGCTCGGCGTCGTCGAACGCCGGCAAGCTCTCGAGCTCGAACAGGTCGGAGCTGGACTCGCTGCTCTCCTTGGCCCTCTCGCTCTCCTCCGCCACGCCGAGCGCGCGCAGCAGCTCTTCCACCCTCCTCTCCGCCTCCGCCGCCGACTCCTGCGCCGCGGCCACCTCCCTCTCCGCGCCGCGCAGCCTCGCCACCCCGGCGTCCCGGCACCCGTGCTCGCCGTCGTCCACCACGACCGCCACCGGCGAGAACCGCACTGCCCGCCTCGCCGGAGTCAGGATCCCACCCGTCGCCGCGGGCTGTCGCCGGGAAGCGCGCGACGACAGGATCGACCTCGCGGACGCCGGCTCAGCGGCGGTGACTGCCACTGCCGCCGGCGCCACCGCCAGAGCCCGCGGCGTCGTCGGCTCGGCCGACCTGGCTGACCTCCTGTTGCAAAGCAGAGCATTCAGAAGGCACGCGAATGGCGCCGACTTGGCACCATTCTTGTTCTTCCTTCTGCCCCTCTTCTTCTCCGCGACGTCTCCTGTTGACTCCGGCATCGGCGGCGGCGGCTGCGGCGGCGGCAAGAGAAGCGAAGGCTGTGGGTCAGGCCGCACGCGACACGGCCGCGGCGTCTTCTGCAGCCGCGGCGACCGCACGGAAGAAGCAGACGGCGACAGGTTGTTGCACTGCGAAGGACGGCGGCGGCGTCCGGGCACCGGTGACCCCTCGGCGTCGGCGGGGGACGCCGGCAAGCTGCCATCGGCGTCGAGGGAGTGGTAGATGGCGTCGAGCAGCGCGGCGGAGAAGGACGGGTTCTCCCGGTTGCGGCGCGGCGGCGCGAGACGGCCGCTGTGGTGCGGAGACATAGTGACGCCCCCGCGACGCGCGCGCGGCCGTGGGACGAACGCGATCGCGGCGAGGGAGAGAGGATCACAGATTCGCAGGGGCTTTTTGGTTTGGTTGGTGCGTTCGTGCGGAGGTGTCCGTGGGGGTTGAAAAACGCCGCGCGCGCGCACAGGTGGAAACGGGGGCGGATGACACTGCGCGCACTCGAGTTTTCGCCTTTTTTTTTTTTAGTTGCTCGTCTCTTCCCCAGCGGTGGAGTTTGTTGGGGAGGAACGGACGGTGAGGGCTCTGCGCGGCGCGCGGTGACGGCGTGCTGGTAAAGCGAAACTCGAGTCATGCAAAGACACTGCCCGTCGACAATTTGTACATTTTCTTTCTCCCGCAGTGGAAATTGAAGCGTTAACAGTAAAACAGTCTATCGATGTAGTGAGTGATGAGTTCGCGAAAAAAAAGATGTAGTGAGTGAAAACAACGAGAATCGATAGCATCTCTTCGAAACCGACGCTCAATCAATCGGTGATTGATCATATTTATCATTTAAATTACTCGGCGTTGATATCAGTATGATGCAGAAAGAAATTAGAATTTGCAATACTTGGTAACGGTTGTAAACGGTACCTCTTATATAAAAAAAATGACGCTCGGTATGAAAACGGTATTTGGACGATCGGAAATTTTTGTGACTATTAGGGCCCTTCCGTATGGCATGCATGTGCTCCGTTCACTGATTTCCATTTACTTTAGCCCGTTTAGCCGGATGCTAGGGATGCTAGATTAACGTACGTGTCGTTAGTTAGTTCATAAAACAGAGAAGCTTTCCGTCGAGCGGCAAAGCGAGCTCTTTCCCGGAGCAAAGAAAGGCGCGGGGGTGGTGCATCGTTTCTCTGCTGGATACAATGAACAATTTCTTTCCTTGTAAGATATTCGAATCGTGCTCTTTTTCTAACTACGGTTCATGATGGTGCAGGCCAGTGCCGACGCAAAAGCTTGTATAAAAAACTAACTTATAAACCTGAACCCTACAAAGTAAATTGGCGATGAAACACCACCCACCATGATTGATGCTTAAGACGACGGTTATGCAACTCTTTTTAAGCTATGGATGGAAATTCATAAACAGACTTTAATAAATGTGTTCTTCTTATCTTGGTTTGGTTTTTTATTTTGTTGGGTGTGTTTAATTTCATTTAAACTACACATTTTGTTAAAGTGATACTTTGTAATAATTGGATGTAGCTCTGATAAGTAAATGCCGGGATGTTTATTCTATTATCTAAAATAAAATGATTGATGTGTTGAACACTGGTCGGTACACTAGAATATGGTGATCCAGACGTGCACGTACATCGACTCGCTGCAGCAAAAACGTTCCCAAAAGAGTTCACGAGTCAGGCCCACACTGATAGTCTTCGCGCGCGTCCTCCGCACGTCTCTTCGCGATCCTCCCTTTCGCGCAGCGGCGCATCGCATATGGGCGCGCGGTCCACCGGACGACGAAAGGAAAGCGAATCCACCGCGACATTGCGCCGCGGCTAATGATCAACTGCGCCGCAGCCGCCCCCACATTGGCCACTACGCGCACACGCACGCAGCTTGTCTCGTCTAGTCTAGGCTTCCTCCACTTTTTATCGCACGTCGTCGCACGACCAATCTGCCTATGTTTTTGTTTGAAACGTCCCGCACGGGGCGGCCACGCCGTCGCATGCACGTCACGGGCGCCTGGCGCGGTGGCGCTCTCCCGGCAGCCGACGCGCCTCGTCCCGTGCGCGCGTGCCATGGTTGGCGGTTGGCAACGCCGCACGCTCCCACGCTGGCCACGCAGCTAGTAAAATCGAGATGGGCCTAAACTTCCCGCCCGCGTGTGTCCGGGACTCCGGGTCCCTGATGCCGGCCTGTTCCGTGGGTGGACGAGAAGCTCCGACGAGAAGTGTACTCTCCCTTTGAGCATGAGCCCGCGACGAGAGCTCCGCATGTCTTTCTCTGCTCTGCTCCCACGTTGCGACATTGTCTCTTGGATGCAGCCTAACGAGCTCTTGTCGACGATGGGCTTAGAGCAAGTTCAATAGTATAGCTCACTACTAGCTATAAATCATCTATAACCAATATAATAGTCAATTTATACAATAATTGTTTATTGTATTATTAATATATGGTCCCACAATGTCATACAAATATTACGTTTTGAAGTTCGTGCTGCAGCTAGCTACAGATCTGTAGCCAGCTGCTCTTCTCTCTTTTCTTTTAACTCTTTAAAATATGTTTTATAGCTGGTTTATAGACAGCTATTGTACCTGCTCTTACCACCATACCTGTTAGCGCCCGCCATGTTTATTTTCCTCCTGATAGTCATCATGGTGGTTCTTTCTCGAACTAGATTCGGCTCCAATGTACGAGCAGGCTGGCACGACGACTAGCTGTGGTCTGTGGAGGAGGAGTGTACTGAGGAAGGTGGGAGGGAGAGAAGGCAGCGGAGGGTGGCACGGTTCATAAAACCGATGGAATTTCATGAAAACCAGTTGACTTTTGTGAAACTGTTAGGTCTGAATTTATGAAAACCGGTCGGTATTAGCTAGTTTTCCGTACGGCGTTGACTAAAAATCGTTGGTTTTTATCGTTTTTGATCGGATTTGGTAAACCAGTGAAGAGCGATTTTTTTACTTCGAAATCGAAAAGTTAAAGCCTAGAGGAGTACCTAAGACGACAAGGGGGTGAGCGACAGTGAGGGAGATATTAATTATTTTAAAAACATATTCCTATATCTTTCAAAAAAAAATTCTCTTCTCCTTAAAAAACTTTTAAAGAAATAAAAAAGAATCCATCTAAGTATTAATGCTCCTTCTCCCTTAAAAAATTGACCTCACTTTTCAAAAAACTATACCCTAAATAACTTCTTTAAAGAAATAAAAAAAGCCAACATCTCATAAAAATGGATTAGAAATAAACTAAATCATATTTTTATCTATAGATCATATTGTAATGCATAGGCATGCAACTACCCCTCTATTTCATATTATGAGTCACTTTGACTGTCAAGCTTAAACAAATTTGACTAAGTTTATAGATAATAGTTAGCAATATCTACTATGCAAAATTAGCTTCATTGAAATACCCCCACATGGTTATCGGCTCCGCGGACCTCTAGCAATATTGTCATTGAAAATAAAAAAGATCGAGAAAATAAGAAGAAAAGTGAATAATGAAATAGTAATATATGTTAATTTTTTAGTTTTACATCGTATTACAGTGAAGAACAAAATTAATAATAATAGTATATTATCAAAACATACCATGGATGTAAGCAACTTCCCCTCCCCCCATGTGTTTTGGCTAGTGACATTATCCCCTCTTCCTATCTTCTCTCAAAGTCCCCCAATCATGTTTAGGTAAAAAAAAGTTCTATTATGACTAAAATAAAAAAAACGATTCGACTATATTATTTTTCAAAGAGAATTCATTGTGTCACTGATTTTGACTCGTTATATAATATGATATCGTATTTTGCTTAACTTCTATTCCATCCGTCTCAAATTATAAGGCATGTATTTTTCTTACATGGTCTTTACTGACATACTCTAACCATTAATTTACTCTATATTTTGTTGCCAACGAATATAAAATTAGCATCACATGAAACTACTTTAAAATATAAATCTAGTGATATACTTCATCCGTTTTACAATGTAAGTCATTCTAGCATTTCCCACATTCATATTGATGTTAATGAATCTAGACATATATATGTGCCTAGATTCATTAATATCTATATGAATGTGGGCAATGATAGAATGACTTACATTGTGAAACGGAGGAAGTAACATGTATAATACTTAGCGTATATATATTTAGTATGATTGTTAGTTAAAAGTTACTGAGCTTGATTTTTCTTAAAAGGAGGACGCCTATAATTTAGGACGGAGGGAGTATAATATACCATCGCCCTCTAGTTAGACTCCATTATCACTGTATAATTTTTTTAATTAACTCACGCAATTATCCATGGAACAAAAAGTGTTCAAAATTGAACAAAAATTTCGAAATATCATATTATGAAGTAGCACAAGATTATCCATCTCAAACTTTAAGTGCAGTTTTAAAGTAAAAAAACTGAGATAGAGTGGAGCAGCTCGAGTATCTCCGTATCTCCCCCTTCCCTTCGCGTAAAAGAAAATCCCCCGTCTCGTCTCCTCCGCTCCTTGCGCCATCTCGCGGCTGAACAGGGGAGGGGCGCCGATCTCCGTCTGGCGCGCAGAGCAGGGGGAGGGGATCCTGGTGAGCATCCACATCCTCTTTCTGGTTCATCTCTCTCCCACCGGGAGTACTTTTGTCTGGAATTTGCTTGCGTTAACCCTAGTTTCTCTTCTAGATCTGGAAGAAGCTTCTTCTATTGATTTCAGAGCCTTAACCTTAATACAAGAAACAGTTTGTTTGTTCCCCCATGTCCCAAGTTGGATCCGCCCCTGTCTGCCAGTTCAGTAGTTTTTGGTGGGATTTTGAGGATCTCACTATGGTGTGTGATCGCTTTTGTCATTCCCACCACACATGGATTTGCTCATTTTGTAATAGGGGAAAAAGAGTGGTGCCTAAAGATAGCGTGGATCATATCGCAATAGTCTGTCCAACAATTACCTGAATCCTTTTGTTTAGTCATAAATCCTTGCAAATGTTCTTTATATTTGTTCTCTCTACTCTCCAGGATTGCTGAATTACTTAATTGACTTAATCTTAATCCTAAACTTATTAGCTGACTGTAGAATTTCACCTTGGTAGACTTCGATTAGTAAGGGTATTGGATGAAGCTTGTACTGATCTATGGAGGTGGGTGGTCCACAAGATGCTCTGGACAACAGAAGTGATGATAATGACTTTGATAAGAATGACAATTCTGATCCTGTTGTTTACCAGTTAGTTCGGGTAAGTTCTCATCATAGGGTCTATTGGCTATACACTAATATACATAATTGGTTCCAATTGTTTAGTCAGTTCTTTGAGAAACACATTTTCTTTAAAATAAAATGTTCAGGTTGAAGGTGATGGAACACTTATTCCTGCTACGGAGGATGAGGTCTTACAGTTTGAAACTTTCCTTCATGATGAGAAGGTTGATGATGATCTGCCTTCTATTGACGATGTAACACATGTGGAGGAATATTTTACTAATGATTGCATAGTGAAGAAGCCTGAGTTTGAAGGTGCCCTCAGAAATATTATTCTATCTCAATTTCTACTTTATTGTCATTTCTGTTTGGGTGATCATACTTCCTTAGATCGATAACTGAATATCATGCCATGTGAGGATAAATTGTAGTTTGCAAGCTAGCATGATTAATGAATTGATTCGATTGGTTTGATTACTTGAGATGTTGACTTATTACTATATTTTCACAGAGGGGCCTTCCAAATTAGACACTGCAGATGTACAGACACAAAAGTTAGATGCTGGCTTAGAGGTATATTGCTTATCCATTGTGCATCATGAACATGATTCACTAAACCTATGAGGTATATTGCTTATCCATTGTGCATCATGAACATGATTCACTAAACCTATTTTCTGTTTCATTCAATACCCTCACTAATCGAAGTGAAGTATCTTCGATTGAGTATAAGCATTTTATGACCAGATAGTATGTTAATTCTATTAGATAATAGGTTTAGTTTGTTCTTAGGTACCTCTGTGGTCATTTTTTTCAAGCTAATTCTGGCATGGTAAAAATATGGATTAGTTCTTTTTTGTCTAATTAGCAGTTCAAAGTTCAATTGTATGCGGTCTCAACAAATTCCACTTTTGTATGTAACAACTTTGTTTAGTACTAGTTAGGAACATATTTTTATCGTCATCAAGAACTGACATAGAGATGGATGGATGGATCAAAACTATGGGATGAGCTTCAATGTAATGAGAAGATGCTGAGTTCTTTAAGTGAACACAGGATATGCGGTGAGACATATCTGACTGACTGTAGATCATTGAAAGATGTGGTAATAAGAGATTGATCTGTGTGAAATACAATCCCAGGGCAATCTATTTTTATTTGAGCACTTCCCTTAAAACCATCCACTAAACATGCACCTGTATACATCTTCTTTCAATCTACATATTCAAGTTGATGTAACACTAAATAGATGCATATCATTTCACAGGAAGACAGGTTATGTACATTGAATGATTCGATAGTTCTTCCTTCAAATTGTTCAGCTGTTCATGACCAGCAGCTGGATAAACTAAATACAGAACAAGGGGCAAATATCATTGCCCAACAGGACAATGCTTCGACTGAGACTACAAAATCAACAGTATTAAATGACCTTTCTTCTGATAAAGAAAAGGCTGATGCCTGCTCGAAACCTGTAAATGAGGCATCTGCAGGACAATCTGTTTCTGGGGTTACTAGTTCAGTTCCTGATTTTTCCATTTTAAAGGGAGAAGTCTGCTTGGATGATCTTACAATGAGAGAACTTCAGGAAGCATTTAGAGCCACATTTGGGCGTCAAACTACTGTCAAGGACAAGCTATGGCTCAAAAGACGGATTGCAATGGGGTTGATCAATTCATGTGATGTTCCAAGTTCAGGTTGTGTTGTTAGGGATTATAAAGTTATTGCCATGGGTGCCAAACAAGAAATACCAGTGGTTGAAGCAATACCAAAGATGGAACTTGAGGCTAATTTGGTTAGGGACCAAGTAATGAATCCTGGACATGAGAGAGATTTACCATCAAGTCTTTCCTATCATAGTGAGGAGCAACAGAGATCGTCCAAGAGACTCAAAAGAGTACCAACAGATAATGATGAACCACAAGTAACTATTTTTGCCGAACAAGGAACTACTAAGAGAATTAGAAAGCCAACAAAAAGATACATTGAGGAGCTCTCAGATATTGACACTCATGAATCCACTGGGAGACTTTCTTCACCTGGAAAAAGGCATGTATATGATGAGGTGTTATTGAGACCACGGATAGCGCCTTTGCATGAGGTTGATTCGTTGAGCACAGCCTATCCTACTAGAGAAGATACTCTTGGAGGGTGTAGTGTGCATGTGCCTTATGTTTCAAGGATGAGAAGGGGGCGCCCTAGGAGTAACTTCATTCCATTTTTGGTAATTGTCTACCTATGCATTATATAATCTTCCAGCTCTGGACAATTTGACTACCATTTATTATCATTGTGACATTTGCGCAAATATTCGATTACTATACAAGTATACAGGACCAACAATATATTTGGTTACTCCATTTTTGGAACTATTTTAGGGATGTCCTCTTTTTATGTTAGATGCTTCCTTTTTCTGCTCCTTTTTAGAATTTCTTCTTTTGATATGAGATTGCAAGTACCTTCTCTATTTATCAAAATAATATGGATTTCCATAAAGCATTATGTTAACGCATTTTGGCCTGTAAATTGCTTCCTGCTCAGAATGCATCTGACCTAAGAAACTTATCTAAGGGAAAATGTTCTTGGAAGCCAACTAACTAAAGACTCATGCCCATTTTCAATCAAGCAGATTATTAATTTTCTTTTTCACAATTTCACTCTTTGCCCATGGTACTTCCTACAAACACCGTGTGCTATATTTCATAAATTAAATGTGGGAAATCTCTGAACTTTTTGTTAACTGATTTTGCCATTGTAGTCTTTATTTGATAGTTTCCTCATCATTGTGCCAATATTCCATTTGATCTGATGTACCATATTGCACCATATACCAATTCAGAATAATTTAGGACAAAACCATATTTTCATGTGTCATACGCTATTAGATTTGGTATAATTATCTCAATGTAGCTACCTGAATCCTTTTTTTATTGCATCAGGATCCTGAGCCTTCTGTGGAATGTACTGAGGCCCCTGCTGCAGATGTAGTGAATTTGGAAAAGGAAGGTGAACGGAAGAACCATGTAAGCAAAGCCATAGAAGTTCCACTAGTATGATGTTTCTTCATGTTGGACAATATAGTGAAAATCCAACTTCAGAATGAAGTACTGACTAGAAATATATTTGAAACACATAGTACCTCAATGGCTTAATGCTGTGTAATCTACTTCTGTATTATGTGTTATATAATATTTTTCTTCAACTTGCTAGCAGAAGAACACTGGGAAGAAAGGAGTACATGTAGAAACATCTTGTGAAAAGGATGTTCAGGGTCTGCAGGACAAGGATTTTTGCGACTCTGATGACAATCCCAAAACAAAGCGGGGTGGGAAGCGGAAGCATCATCGAGCATGGACATTGTGTGAGGTTGTGAAGCTGGTCGATGGTGTGGCCCGATATGGGGCTGGCAAATGGTCCGAGATTAGAAGACTAGCCTTCTCATCATATTCGTACCGCACCTCGGTGGATCTTAAGGTGCAATTGCCTTTTCAACTCCTAGGTTTGTTCGTGCATTTTATTTCTTCTAATGAATCATGATGCTTATTCAGGACAAATGGCGGAATCTGATCAGGGCCAGCCAGACACAACTTTCCACTGAAAACGATGTATGATGAACAGGCTGTTCTGTTCGACCTACTTTCTCACGTTCTGGCATTTTTTCCCCTTTGCTTTGCATCTTGATTTATTTACCCAACTTTCTCTTTGCCACTGAACAGGGTGTTTGTCCACGGAAGAGCAATCCTTCTGCCATACCGATACCAGTGTCGATTCTGCTACGAGTAAAAAAACTGGCTGAGATGCAGTCTCAAGCTGGCGACGTGAGAGTGCCGATCAAGTTTTCAGGGCAGAGCACTACGGTTGTACAGGGGAAAGTTTCGGGTTTCTTGTGATCCACGTGTTGCATGCAAATAGAGGGGGAAACCACTGAGATTGATGTACGCTTTTGGACGTCTGTGAATACCACACTTGTATAGCAAAGTTGTGATCGCGACTCGCGTTCTCGTGCAAAAGAAAGAGTCGACGTATGTATTGTTTGCTCCTTTTTCTACACACGAACACTTCCTATGTTCTCCGAGAGATTTGACTAACGTACCTTGAGATTGACATAGTCACCTTAAACACCTTGTTATTGAAAGAATAAATGCTCCTTTTTCGTTTGCACGGATATTAACTTCTTCTCTGGATCCGCTTGTTTGCATCTAACCCAAGTCCTAATAGCCTTGCGAATGTAAAACAGATGTTCGATTGCATGGAAGAGCACAAGAGATTTCTTAGTCGCGACAGAGTAAGGCTTTGCAGGCATGTACAAACCAAAACTAAGGGAGAAATTGCACTGCAGCTAGAAGGCAATCATTTGATCGAGAAAAAGGTATAAAAGCTGATACATTAAGTGGCGTTAATATTAAAGTACCGGCACAAAAATGGAAATATCAGCACTAATCTGGATATAAACTATTAAAGCACTAATCTGGATATAAACTATTAAGTGGCGTTAATATTAAAGTACCGGCACAAAAATCGAGCAGGAGGGCGAGGGCTATGGGCACTGCAACACCTCACCTCGCTCACCTCACCACGCACGAGCGAGCAGCTGATAGAGTAGCACAGTCTGCTAATGTAGCGCCGAGGACTTGGAGATCAAATCCAGCAGAAATTTACTTTCACCCGAAGGATCAACCTTCTCCACTTTGACCGCGGTGTTCTTCACTTTGCGCTCATCGCCGTATGATTCTTCTTTGACCTTCAGCCTGAGCAGATATTCCTGAAACAAGCAATTGAGCATGGTGTCTGCAAACCGAGGGTCCTCGCGCTCCTTAAGTGCGTTGAGCTCTGTTGCCGAGCAGCCAAGCAACTCCTGCCCAGCCTCCTGGAATGCTGTCACCCAAGCTGTTCCCGAGTGATCTTGAATCTGAAACTGCAGGAGATACCTGTAGTCGCACTCTTCAAACTCCCTATCGCATTTGTCACAGGTCCAATTGCCATTAGTACTCTTTGTCACCTTCTTATTGCACTGCCTGTCGCCAATCATGTTAGGGCAAGCTGTGTAGAAGAAGGACTCATTCTTGAAGAATATAACGGTGGCTTTCACCGTAATCCAGTCAGGTTTGTCCCCCATTCCAAGACCTTCATCCTTGATCTGTGCTACTGTCTTTCGGATCTCATTCCTTGATGCTCCAGGCGTGATATCTCTGGATATGGACTGAGTAGAAGCATCTCTTCCTCCACTATCAAACCATTGCCTGAGACTATGAGCTTCAGCAGAATCAGGGTTGATGAAGAGCTGAGTTGAAGAAATTGTGCCGACAGACTTGCCACTGAAATCACTCACTTTTCCTGCTTTGACAGCCAGCACAGGAAAGATCCCACGTTCAACCATTCCTTGAAGCTGTGAGCCTTCTCTGTTGCAAAAGTCACCCCACATGGTTACCTCAACACTTCGACCAGACATATCCTTCAGGTTCATAGTTCTTTTCTGAGTTTCCATGCCATTTTTCCTCTGTATTGTGGTGCAAGGATTGACCGATGTAACAACACCTATGATGTCAAGGATAGCATTGTTCTGGGCATCCTCAATTTCATTGATCGGTCTGAAGTCAAACCGCTGGGTGGGAATGGAACTGTTCTCATCAGGACAAAGATCCACAGTTGATCCATTCTCCAATAAAATCTCCCACTCATTGTTAAGATGGTTATAGTTCTTCTGTGCAGGTCTCAAGTTTCCTCTTGATACCACATAGACCTTACCAACTTCCACAACTTCATAGAATCGATCAAGAAGAGCATTGAAGCATGTCACCCGTATCTCTCCCCCATCAGAATCAAGCAAGTCAAAAGAGAATACTTTCCCATCACCTTTAGCATTATGGTATCGGCGGATATCTCCCTTGGCAGTAACTCTAGCCTTGATAGCCCAGCGGCCTTGATAAGGATTTAAAGCAGATATGGGGATTATTCTAGCAGGGGCTTCATTTTTCATGATTGCTCCATGGTTTTTGTAATTAGGTGCAGGGCGATAAGATGGCTGGACTGTTGGTTGGAAGACCGGAACTTTGTCACTGGGCCTAGTGGCAAAGTTAGAGGAGTTTCCTGCCATCGAATTTTGGAACAATGGAACATTGTCACTAGGCTTTGTGGTTGTATTTGATGAGTTCCCTGCCATCAAACCATATTGAGGTGCTCCGTTAAATTGCTCTACTCTTGTCGGATTTGGGATAGGAGATCCAGTTTCTGAAAGCGCTGTAGGATTCCCAATTATCTCACACTCCGAAACAAGAACTTCCAGGTTCAGAATGACAATAATCCTACAGGTATTGCAACAAGTCAGCTCAACCAACAAAAAACAATTCTTGATTCTGCTCTATCAACCAGTAGATCAGTTGAAAATAAGAATGCAAAAGGCTCAGAATATGATGATTCACACTGCTACATGAATACTATGTTTAATTACAACACCTTTTGGTCAGAAACTTATCTTCACTTTTGCATTTGTCGCCTTGCCAACATGATTTGAATGGACACAACTATGCTTCCAATTACTTATGAACCAGATACAAAAGAAATGCATTTAGTACGGTGTTGTGTTGAACTGAATGGCTACAGCTAAAAGATAAAAAATACTTAGTACTTAGACCCAAACTGTTCACAGCACCAGACAGTTGCAGCATTAATGCTGATCAATATCTAACTACATTGGCCAAATCGATGCACCCAAACATGGCGATTTGTTGGCTAGAGAAAAAAAGGCACACAACTAAATTAGTGAACTAAATCAGACAACACTGTAAAGTGTGTAGTAGTCAAACTGACCATATTACCTTCATCGTTTGACATGCTACCTGCCAGAAATGGCGAACACCAAAGGCTACCCAAGCACATATATCACACTATTTTGTAATCGTTAATACTAATGCCAGCCAATTAACTACTGAGTATCGACAAACACCAATTTGTGTCACAGGACAGCCTTAGTTACCACTGATTAGTACTGCAATACCGAGGCCTCTTTCTGACAATAATAATTCAAATCAGAATTAAAATCAATTGGACAAATGGTTAACAAGCACCGATCAAATGATGTCATAAACAAAACCATTGTCAGAAAAATTTTGATGCACCTCTACTAGTATCTAGTAGGAAACATGAAGCTCATCGACAATTTACCAACAGAATGGCAAGTACTAAGTATTAATTTAAATTGCAAACTAGCTGAAAGCGGGAATCTAAACCACACGCAGACTGACACACATAAAACCAGGGGCAAGCATGAACCCTAAAACGAAACGGGCCAAAAATCGCACGCAATCACACATCGATCAGAGGCAGGGGAATGGGGGGGAAAGTGGAGGAGGAGGCAACAAAACCTTCTGGGGCCGACTTCGTTGATGACGTACTCGCTGAGCTGCACAATGCTGCCGCGTCGGAGGGCGCCGGATCGGGCGTGGTCGCTGAGCTGCGCGGCGAAGAGCGCGGAGGACGCGGCGGTGCCGTCGGAGACCACCGCCCGGAACCTCTCCCCGCGCGTGACGCCCGCGCCGTTGACCTGGACGCCCCGCAGCTCGACGATCTGCAGCACCGGCTTCAGGTTCGTGTCCCCCGCCAGCGCCGCCGCCACGCCGTTCGGCGTCAGCCTCGCCATCGCCATCGCCACCCGCCGCCCTCCTCCACCTCCACCTCCACCTCCTCCTCCCCCTCTCCGCTTCAATTCAATCCGACACGGAGAGGCGCGGATTAACGGGAAAACCCCCGCCCTGGATGGTTGGAACTTGGATTGGGACGAGGAAGAAGGGAATGGTTCGAGGCTTTGAGCTCTCGAAAATTCGAAAAGATGCGAGGGGTGAATTAGAAATGGTCCGCTAATTAATGAGAGAGGCGGTTGATGTGGAGGCTGCTCCTTTCGGAGGAAGACATCGACACGCTTCAGATACACCAGCCGTTGGATAGATTTGGCATGATCGCATCGGACGGCCACAATATCCCAGAGTGGATGGGCTGGCCTGGGCAGGGATGAGTTCGCTGCGGGTGGGCCGGCCCATCTCGTATTCTGATGGGCCGTCACGCGGCGCGGCGAATTCGAAGCCTCGGCCCACGTTGCCGCAGCGGTTGACACCGATGAGTGATAACGCGGTCCAGTATTGTGGTGATTGGCTGATTGCTTACCATTTTGCACATTGCACTTCTATCATTGTGCGGCCATGTTTAGTTCACATCAAATTTCCCCCAAACTTCCAACTTTTCATCACATCACGTCACATCCAAAACTTTCCTACTCACATAAACTTCTATTTTTTTTTTCCAAACTACCAACTTTCCCTAAACTTTTTCCTAATTTCAGAAACTAAATACAGCCTCATTGAGTAGTTCAATCAGGTGCAGGTTTTGGGTCATTGGATGGGATATGAGACACTGTTCACTAGCAGGGGGGGGGGATTGCATTTTGCTGTAAGCTGTGCGTTGACCGGTATAAAAGATAGTACTCCTGGAGTAGTAACAACAAATCTATGAAGAAACTGTGGCCGTGTTTAGTTCCAAAATAATTCTTCGAACTTTCAACATTCCCATTACATCAAAGGCTGTGTTTAGTTTCTGAAATTGGGGAGAAGTTTGGAGAAAGTTGGTAGTTTGGAAAAAAAGTTAGAAGATTATGTAAGTAGGAAAGTTTTGGATGTGATGTGATAGAAAGTTGAGAGTTTGGGGGAAGTTTAGTGTGAACTAAACATGCCAAAACTTTTCTACACACACAAACTTCTAACTTTTCCATCACATCGTTCCAATTTCAACCAAACTTCTAATTTTGGTGTGAACAACACAAGCTGTACATTGTTTACTCAACTGGAAACCGGCCATCGAGGGTGGACGAAAGCAAAGAGTGGGTTAAATCCAGTAGCCAACCAAGCCGAGCCGCATCAAGTGATCAAGGTCCTAGTTTTGTTTCGTTTGGTCCAGGGTTTGTATGATGTCACCGCAGTACAATTCCAGCGAATTGAAGGGTCCCCTGACGTTCAGCTGACACTGCAGGGACTGCAAGTAGCAGCAGCAGCACTACTACCACCACCAGCTGATCATTTACTGTTCTTAACACTTGCAGCTGAACCACTGGTTGCGGCCTCCTGACAGATGCTGATCCCTGACGACCAGCTCTCAGATTGAGGCGTTTAGTTAAGCGGCTGTCACGAGAAATGCTGTCGCGCGCCGTGACATCTCCCTCCCCTACACACGGAAAACCAGGCCACATCCCTGCAAAAAACACATCGGATCCCTTCACCCCAAACGCGCGAGGGATTTTAAACTAAACGCCACGATACAGCGGTAAGAATCTGAAACTGAACGAGAGCGTAGTAGAAGTAGTCGCCGACCTCCTCCTGCTCCGTAAACTAACCGGGAGAGAACTCCGGCGCCCGCGACCACCACGTTGCAGGGCCTCATATCCCGAGGGCGTCAGATGCCCTCGCCGATACACTAAAAACCGAATAATCTGGGCAATCAGTCTGTCCTAACTCAGAGTTGCCGCGAATGACGACACTAGTTTAATTCAACCTCTTCCTGTCAGTAGTAAAATCCCAACTGTCTAGGTTGCCCGTGCACGCATGTGTGCACCGCTGCTAAAAATCTCATCTCCACAGCCTTTTCTCCCAGCCATGACTGACTGAACAACCCGTCCAAAACGGGAAAAAAAATCTCCATTACTCCCTCCACCTAAAAAAAAGACAAATCCTAGTTTTCCGTATCCAACTTTGACTATCCGTCTTATATAAAATTTTTTATAATTCGTATTTTTATTGTTGTTAGATGATAAAACATGATTAATATTTTATGTGTGACTTGTCTTTTTAATTCTTTTTATAATTTTTTTAAATAAGACGGACGGTCTGGGTTTGTCTTTCTCTTTTTTTTTTTTTTGACCGAGGGAGTACGTGCCACGGGATCAGGTGCAAGCACATGCGGGCTTAACACGCGAGTGGTCGTGGTAGTGGGGGAGGCGAAGACAGTGTGAGCAGAATAACATGCCGTCACGGCCTCGTCTCGTCGCGATATTGCGAGCCAAAACCGTGCAAGTCGTGGGGTCACCTGAGCCTCTCCACGTGCGATTCACCGCATGCTGCACTGTGGCTTGCTTGTGCAGCTGATCCTCCGGTTGATGAATGAATGGTTTTGAACGTTCTCCTCTCTATGCATGCGTTTCGTTTTGCTGACGAGATGGGTGCAGAGCCGCAGATGTGTATACAGAGTAGTAGTACAGCCTTTTTATTGTACGCGTACGTGCTGGAGACGGGCTCATGTGGGCTCTGTCGTGGGAATACTGGGCGCCGTGGATTTGTTCAACTTCGCTGTCAGAACAGATACGTCATACAGTACGTGCTCCGCTGGATTCGGTGATGAAGATGATACAGTGACAGCTGAGTTTTTCCTCGTTTTGGAGTAAACTCCAGATTAGTAGAGTACGCGTCGAAAACCAGCACATATAGGCAGGTGCCAGTACTACGAAAACTGAGGGGGTGTCTGGGAGTAGCCTCTTTCTAAAAAACATAAGTCTCTAGAAGAGAAACTAAAGTTTAGTACTAATTCCCAAACACTCTCTCAGGTTAATTTCTGCTGTTGGATGAACCGAAAGCTGTAACGCGGGACATGTAATTTCTGGGAATTTCTTCAGTAACAATTACTCCATGTGGAGGCTTGTGTCAGGGAAGGCAATCCCTGTGGTGCAGTGCCAGTAGTAGTGCTGTGGACGCTTTGGACGAAGTCAGGTGGCCCCCGCGCGTCAGTGGCACAGCTACCGGTACTTGAGCCGGAGACTGTCACGGTGCTGGCCGGCAGACACCGTCTCGCGGCAGACAGCAAGTGCAGGCTTTGAAGGCTGCAGCTGCAAGGAGGAGAGGCTTGTGTCCAATGCTGCACTGTACATGATGGATGCATGCATGCGCTGCAGACTGTGTGCGAGGCAGGGGAGGAGAGGCGACGGTCCAAACGCCAGCAATGGATCATTCAATCGCATGGACGCGAGAGCTGACAGCGCCTGACATTGTCTCAGGGGGCCGGCAGCAATTGCAGTGCAGTTGGCATTGAATCCATGGAGACCAAAGCAGGGGTGCTGGTCAGTCATCACAGTCCTCCATCTCTCCCTCTCTCTGAGTGTCTGCAGGAAGGTGCAGGAGTGGGGGCACTGCAGCTACTCCTAGCTCTGCATCCAGCTTCTTGCAGCATTGGCCGGTCAATGGGAAAACGGTTCAGGGGAGAATAGACCCTGGGAGAATCTTTTTGTTTGGGACTTTGCAGTGATAACCCTGAATGCTAATGATCGACAGCCTAAACGGTTCAACAAGTGATCAACCTAGTAGTAACACTTAAGAAGACCAATTTGGTACTTGCACAGTGTACTCAACCAACTGACGAAGTGCAAGAGTACGGTATTAAGCATTTCCGTTGCTCAGGAGCAAAGCTGTTTTACGTTGCACTGGTAATGTACTTAAGGAGGGGAGTGGAGTACACCTAGCAATACTACTACTCCTACACCGACTTGTCAGAAAGCATAAAGTATTCTCTGAAGCAGGATGGCGCTAGTGAGCTTTTCAGCAGAATCCAGAGATGTGACTTACTCCCTCCTTCTTAAAAAAAAAAAAAACCGTGTCGACCGTCCGTCTTATTTAAAAAAAATATATAAAAAAAATAAGTCACATATTAATCATGTTTTATCATCTAACAACAATAGAAATTTTAATTATAAAAAAATTTCATATAAAACGGACAATATAAAACGGACACGTTGACCCAAGAATCCACGGTTTGCTTTTTTTTTTTTTTTCGGAGCGAGTACTATCACAGGCAGAGGAATCGGAAAGAAGAAAAAGGGCGTTCACAAAAGCGAACACGCTTGTCTCACAAGCTGCTGCAGATATTACAAGGACTGACAGGAACCAGGCAGAAAATCTATTCCTAGTTGGTTCAGGAAGAGTCTAACCTAATTAATCAGCCCGACCGCATCATTCTGAGGCCATTTCGGAGAAAATGTAGGAGTAACACTCGAAGCAACATTACAAAAAGCTCAACGAAAAGAAGTGGGAAAAAAATAAGAATATCATCAGAGAACTCGTAGGAGGTTTCGGCCTGTCATTGATGAAGTCCTGAAAGATCGAAGCGTGATTAGTTTGGAGATGCAATGATCGATCGATCGATCCTGGAGCATCAGCATGCAGCTCGCACGCCGTGAAAGAAGCTGTTGATTTCTTCCGCGTGTTGATCACTTCTTGGCTTCTTCAAGAGATTAATCATCTGCAGATTGCACAAGACCAAACAGGAAGCAAGTTGGATCATCGTCAGCACGGCTCGCCATAAGAATCAAGAAACGGTTCTGATCAGTGGAGACGAAGGTTAGTACTCTACGCACCATTGTGGTAGCGGGAGGTGGTGGTGATCGGGAGGTCGTTGGCGGCCATGGGGATGGACATGGACAGCTGCGTCTCGCCTTCGAGCCCCATCCAGGAGCCCTTGCTGTTCTTCTCATGCGGCCACTCGTCGAAGAAGTGGCGGAGAGGTTTCTGCGCCGCCGCCGCGTGGTCGTGGCCCGCCGGCTTCTCCAGACGGAGGTCGGCGCCCAGGAGGAAGCAGTGCTGCTGCTGCTGCTGCTGCTGCTGTTGCCGCCTCTCTTTCTCATCGTCGTCCTCTTTTGAAAGATCAATGGCGTACGGCGACGCCGCGGTGTGGCCGTAGCCGGCGCCCGGGAAGAGAGGCGTGGTGCTCTGCTTGGGCTCCATGCCGAGCTGCTTGAACTGCCACTGGCCGTGCCCGGCGGCGGCGTGGTGGTGCTCCCTCTCGGTGCCATCGGAGAAGAAGGCGTGCTCGCCGTGCACCTCCTTGGTGGCGTGCCCGTACGCGTACTCCTTGTGGTCCATGGAGTAGTAGGACGGCGGCGGGTGCGGGTGGGTGGTGTCGAGCTGGAGGTGGAACGGGCTCACCTGCGCGTGGTACGCCGCGGCGGCGGGGGTGCGCGCGGTGGCCGCGGCGTAGGGCCCGCCGTAGAGCGCCTGGTACGGCGCCGCGTCGTGCGGCGCCGGGCGGCTGTAGGAGGGCGCCGGGGAGGAGGTGGTGGTGGTGGTGGGGGCGACGCCGGCGGAGGTGTTCGACGCGGCGGAGGTGGCGGAGGAGGACGGCGGCGGCGGCGTGGCCAAGGACATTTCCACAGGCTTTCTTGAACGGTTCTTGCCACGGTGCATGTGCTTCTCGCAGTACTTGGAGTCCGGGTACGCCTCCTTGGAGCACCGCCACTTCTTGCCGTCCGTACGCCGGCATCGCCCTGGCTCCGGGTCCTCCGCCTTCCGCCCAAACCCCATGCCAAAGCAACCCCACCCCACTGCATTCCAAAGAAAACACCAATCACAATATGGACTTTGTTAGCATCGGCAACAACGCGTACGTACGTACGTGGAGGAGGATGTGTGTAACGTACGTGAAGGTTGGGGAGGGAAGGCGAGGGAAGGGGAGGTGGCGAGGGCGGAGTCGAGGAGGAAGCTGCGGCGGAGGGGGAGGATGAGGTCGGAGGGGATGGGAGTCCCGGACGCCATGTACTTGTAGATGAGCGCCTGGTGCTCCAGCTCCTGCCACTGCGACGCCGTGAACGGGTACCGACCTCCGCCGGCGCCGCCGCTCGGGCGACCGCTCATCATCATCATCTCTGCAACAACTACTTCAGCTGCGACCGACCGCCTCTTCACCGACCGGAAGCGAGCGAAGCGGTCTCGCAGTACAGGCGCCGCGGGCGCGCGCTCTAGCTGCTCGGGAGATCACGCGGATGGGGGGAGGGGTGAGGGTGGTGGTGTGCGGCGAGTGGAGCGGGAGAGCTCTCGGTGGCTGGGGTTTTGTAATGGGCGGGGAAGGGTGGGGTGAGGGTGGGAAGCGACGTCCGTGCGCATTTAAGACTTGCGAGCCGGAGGCTGTTTCCGGATCCAGAAGAAAACCCGAGGGTAATACTGCGAAATGCGCTCCTGCCTGCCAAAAATATCAGGTTTCGGCCATTTATTAATACATTTTCTAATTAATAAACGGTGGGTTTTAATTAAACGAATGTGAATTCTATAAAACGTTACTGTACTACTACGTAAATGCATCAACTATCTTTCAATACAGTCAATTAGTCCTGCATAAAAAGTATATTTTACCTTTTAAAATTGCAATATTAACGTATAGAGTTGGATTATCATGAGTCTAACTTATATATACTCCCTCCGTTTCTAAATATTTGACGCCATCGATTTTTTTAAATACGTTTAACCATTAGTATTATTTAAAAAATTTAAGTAATTATTAATTCTTTTTCTATCATTTGATTTATTGTTAAATATACTTATATGTATACATATAGTTTTACATATTTCACAAAAGTTTTTGAAAAAGACAAACGGTCAAATATGTGCTAAAAAGTCAACGGTGTCAAATATTTAGAAACAAATGGAGTATTTTACGTATGTACGGCTTAGACGACGGTTAGAAAGAAAATCACTCGGACTGGCATTTTATTGTGACATCATATGAACCAGATATGTTATTGAAGTTCTAGACATTTGTAAACTAGAAGGTAATTATCTAATTAATTAAACTTTAAAATGACATATCAAACATATTATACGAGCCCTATAGTCCAAATAAGATCTAATCTTTTTTTACCGCTTCAGCGATTAGGGTGTTTTTAGTGAAAAGTATTTCAACAAATATATTATAGTGTGAATTAACACTAATGCGTTCGTCAAAATATAATAACCCACGAAGTAGTTGACACCAAGTATGTATTTTCCTGTTTAGCATGACAGTTTTTTTCCCTATGCATGGCACCTTTCAAGTTTTGCCATTTATATTGTCGGAATATAACCGAATATGCAAAGTGAGTGTATATGTTTACAGGTGGGTGTACGTTTATAATGTGTTTTTTTTTAAAAAAAAACCCAACATCTTTAGTTAAGGTAGTGATGTTATTACTTCAACTGTTTCTAGGCCGGATAGAAATTTATAGATCTTTCACTTCTCATTAACAGTGAGACATTTACACATAGGGTGTGTTTAGTTCATGATAAAATTGGAAGTTTACTCCGTGTTTAGTTCGAAAATAATTGTTCAAACTTTTGACTTTTCCATCATATCAAAACTTTCCTACACACGAACTTCCAACTTTTCCATCACATTGTTCATATTTCAACCAAACTTCTAATTTTGGTGTGAACTAAACACAGCCTTAGTTGAAATTGTAACAATGTGACGGAAAAGTTGAAAGTTTGTGTGTAGAAAAGTTTTGATGTGATGAAAAAGTTGGAAGTTTGAAGAAAACTTTGAAACTAAACTCGGCCATAATAGTTTTTAGTCAATCACTTTCATTCTCAGGACTCGTTTGTCCAGTGGTACTATGGTTGTATTTAGTTTCTGAAATTGGGGAGAAGTTTGGGGAAAGTTGGTAGTTTGGAAAAAAAGTTGGGAGTTTACGTGTGTGTAGGAAAGTTTTAAATGTGATGTGATGTGATAGAAAGTTAGGAGTTGGGGGAAGTTTGGGGTGAATTAAACAGGGCTTTGTTTGCCACTGGCTACTGTTCTTTTGCTTGGACAAGCGACATGCTTTATACTCCTTCCGTCCTTTTCTTTGTGAAAAAAAATGTCAAGAACAAACCGTAGGAGTAGGAAGAATGGAAAATAACCCTACCGCACAGTACAGATTTGTCATAAAAGGATGCTTGCAACCAAGCAGCCCACGTAGTAGTACGTGCGTGTGAGCGAAGCAGAGGACATATTTTTTTTTTCTTAAAAGAAAAACGTAGGCGTGCGAACGATGGCCTGTTTGAATAGTTTCCGGATATTTAACTCCGATAATTTATGTCCCGGGTACAGAAGATAGGTCATTCAGTCAAGATGCAGAGGCAGAGCAGAGAGTGCGCTGCAGAATCTGCTGTGCGCCCCCCTCGTGGGCGCGCGCAGCCGTAGGAATCTCACCCGCAAAAACTCCACAGGTTCCTCGCGTCTCCCCTCTCCCCGGCGACGACGCGAGCAACTGGCCACCGCCGCTTGATGCCGTATTTACTGTAGTCGTAAGCGCTTTGGTCGTCGTCTCTATAGTCTAGACTGTCACCGGGAAACTTTGGCTCCCATCGGATAGCCTATTCAACTAAAGAAAAAAAAACAAAATTTGAATTTTTAAACTTAATTTTGACATTGATTTTGAGATATTTTTAACGTAGTTTCTTTTACGGCATTGGCTTTTAAATCACCGAGAACACATATATAAAACTTTTATCTACAAATTATTTTTATTCTCTAATAAGCCGTTTTGGCTTACTATGAAAAAAGCCAAACAATAAGGCCCTTTGCATGGCGTATAGCTTGTTCTTCTATCCAAATTTTTGACGGTTCGATCTTTGTGGAAAAATTTAGTTTCAACGATGAACCACATCAGACATTGATATAAAAAATAAACCATGATCTTAGCATAGAACTACTCATCCACCTGATAAGTGGTTAGTGCAAAGGAACCTTGCAAGGACGATACACCTAGAGCTTGCCATTGCTATCCCTCATCGAGCTCTATCAAATACAGTGTTGGTGTGGTCTCGTCAAGCTTCGAAATTCCTAGCTAATATTGCGGACAACTCACCTAGCACAAAATGGTGACGGAGGATAAAACGTAGCGCCACCACAGCCTCGTTGATATCTTAAACTTCTGGCCTAGTCTCGGTGAACAACTCGTTTAGGACGCAACGACAACATGGTGGTGTCAAAATATATGGTGTTTTTGGACTTTGACATTACCAGGCTTAGCGCTGATGTTTGTGGTTTATTTTTATACATTTCAAATAATTTTGAGCACAATTTAGTTTTCAGATAAGTTATATTATTATTTTTTGGGGGCTTTCTTCTGAATATTACCGCAAGAACAGTATTTCTAGGGTAGTAGTAAAATCTTTCGGGCGTCGAATGGTAGTTGGTGCATGTAGCAGTAGAAGGCACTATGGGTTTCTATAGTTAATGGGCAATGCTGGTCGGTGTCAGAGGAGCCCTGCGGGTGGATGCTGCCACGGTGCCACCATGCGCAGTAGCGAGAGGCCCCACTTGAATGTTATTGTTTATTATTATTATTGACTGCAACGGTGCAGGTTGCAGATGGCAGCAGCAGTGAGAGGGAGACAGGCAGACTCTGACACCCCACGCAGATAGCCTGCAGCCACCCACCCCACACCCACCTCACACTCATCTCTCTCTCTCTCTCTCTCTATATATATATATATATATATATATATACTCAGAAAAAAAACTGTGCAATTTCTTTGTGTAGAGTACACCAGAAATATGTACTGTTGGTCACCAGTTGGGCGATACCCACCGTATAAAAAATCAGGATCCCTCTTCGCTGTACTACTACCACTCCAGGTGAGAGCATGCACACCCTTTTGGTCGAATTAATGTGTCATTAGAAGTGAACAGTCATTGTTCCGTTTAATCATACTGTCTCGTCCTATGAATGCGTCAGTCACAACTCCTAATCAGGATAGCAAGTACAACATCATGATTACATACTCCTACTACAGTCCTAGTTGCACTACTACTAGTATTAGAGCAAGTTTAATGTACTAGTGGTGTAGCTAACTAATTAACTAATTGCTTTAAATCATTTACGATCACTTTAATAATCAATTTATACGATAGTTATCTATAAACATATCACATATACTACACTATTAATATATGGTCCCTATTATACACATGTTGTGTTTTAGATTCCGTACTGCAGCTGGTTACAGATCTGTAGCCCGCTGCTACTCTCTCTCTTCTTTTATCTCCTCAATATGTATTTATAGTTGGCTTATAATATCTGAGAAAGCTTAATAGTATAGCCCACTACTAGCTCCAATTTATCTATAGCCAATCTAATGGTTAATTTATACAATAGTTGCTTACTATGTAGTGACAGAAAACACGAGGCCTGGGAGATTTGCTTAACTCCAGTGCAGGTCCAAAGCTCGCCTTTGGGTGTACTAGCGTGCCAGTTGATTTGTCACGCCCCGAACTAGCCCCGAACGGAACTAGCCTGTGACGCTCCAAATTAACCTGTTAATCGATACCAGTCTCAGGAAACAGTGCTGGTATCACAGGAAGACAGAATATCATAGCAACAGAGGTCTCTTTATTATAGAGTAGGAGTACAGTCAAGTTGGGCTGTGGACAGATCCCGAGGTCACAACTGCATTACAAAAGGGAAAGCGGAAGCCAAGACTTGGACCATTCATCACAGGCGCGACTTGGGAACTAGGCCGAAACCCTAAAACTCATCGTAGCCGACTTGCTCCTGGAAGAACTCCTCATCAGCAGGATCCACATCATCCTCTTCAGCAACTTGGGGGGGATTATTTACATAGAGCAAGGGTGAGTACAGGAGTACTCAGCAAGCCATGGGAATTAAGTGTTTAATGCAGGCTTCAAAAGAAAGGCTGTTGTTTTTGCAATTGGTTTTATTTAAACTCCTTTTTGAAACAACTAAGTGAGTGCTTCTCAAACGACACGGATGAGACAGTGTGTCTCGTCCGGTCGGAGTATGTGCAATGTATCAGTTTTTGAATTGATTCAAGGTTGGCACCCGTCCAACAGCTTTCAAACGGCCACCCGGGCCTGGCTGATCCCATCAGCCGCAGATTTTTCAAACATCGAACCCATTCCACAACAGTAATTTCACCAGCAGTAGTCAAACAAAACTACGCTAGGAATCACCTCACATCTGCCCATGACAGTGGGCACGGCTGTTCGAACAGTTTAATAACCTCTGCAGAGGGGATACACTTTACCCACACGATATTACTAACCCGGATCACCCAGCCCGTGTAGAACGGCAACGTCTGGAGAC